GAATTTATTAACTTTCAACAATTAATTTAGCTTTTAACTTTGATCTTAGATTGTGACTAACTTTGCTTCATTTTCTAAGAAAATAATATCTAAACAGTATCTAAAATATTTTACAAATTAAATTTGTAACCAATAATCTCACAGCTGCATCTTAAATCACTCCATTTAATGCCATCCCTAAGAGGCGGGCCAAATCGGAAGTGGCCACCAACAGGTGTCTCTGGTCATGTTCGTGGCTCGTGGCCCGCCGCAGCTAATTTATGGCCAGCAGCGTGGTGCCGCAACGCATACCATTTTCCATTCTCCATCCTCTCCAGTCTCCTCCACCTCCTCATCCACATCCTCATCTCGAACCCATCCCGCTGGGCCAAGCCCACGTTGCAATTGATTAATGTCAGTGCTGCAAATTAAGCTGAACACACGTTGCCCCTTGACTTTAATCGGGAGATGGGAGAGCACACGAGTAGGAGCCACCTTGGAGTGTGCCTGGATGAGATGTGTGTGTGTGTGTGTGTGATGCTTCATTAGCGCCGACAGGGGAGCACAAAGGAGCCGAATGAAGCCGTGCCGCCGGTGGCTGCCAGCTGGTGGCTCTGCGGTGACGTGAACTGTCACCGACAGGAGGAGCCAATGCCTCCGATGAGCTAAGGGGAACCAGCCAAAAGCCAGCGGGCGGGCAGGCTAAAAGCGTTGGCCTGTCATCCGCAGAGCCACAGAAGAGCAGAGCCGACGAGAGAAACTATTTTCTTCACTCGAAACGCTGCTAGCTGGCTGGCTGGCTGGCTGGAAAAGCTGCTCCCAATAATTCCTTCGGCTAACGATCTTTGTTACGGGGCCCACGACTAAATGCCGGTGCAAGAATGCAAGCAGTGCCTTATCTCAAGTGCACTGAGGGAAACATTTTAATTCAGATAAATAGAAATAATCTAATCTTAATTAAACATTTAAAAATCTTAAAAATTCTAGGCTGCAGAATATTTTAGAATTAATTTAATTAACAAACAAATACCGGCAAATAATCGTGAGACTCTTTCTGGCATCTCATTATTTTGGCAAGTGTGTGTGGGGGAAAATCACGATTCTTCCCTGTGCCGGGGACGGAGCTGGGGACCCAGGAATGGTCATGACAACGAGGCCTCCGCTATCTGGCTATCTGGCATCAGCAGCTGCTGCTGGCTGATGTTTAGCCAGCGGACAAATAAGTTGATGTTGATTGTTTTTGCCCGGCTGCCGCTGCGGCACGTAAGCGATACTGACAATCCAAGCGAGTCCGAGTCCGAGATGGATGGATCCATCTGGCCAAGCGAAACTTAATTTCTACATTTGCCGGCAGATAAAGCGCAGAGTGGGTAAACTGGTAGCCGCACAGTGGGGCAAGAAGCCAGCGATCCGAGACGCAGCGCACGCATCTAGCACGCATCTCTCCATTAGACGCTTTTAGTGATTGTTAAATTCCAATTAACAACTTTTTCTGCCAGTTGGGCCGCTGATTGCCAGGGCATCTCTTGGCTGCCTTTTAAGGCCACTCCACTCCAGGTTCCCAGAGGCTGGAGAACAAGTTGTCGTTTTGGCCAACGTTAATTGAACCCGCACACACTTGGCCATCTAAGCGTCGCATAAGTTGTATAGTTTGTTTGTTTGTTTTGGCCATGTCTTAGAACAGCCCTGCCCTCTAAGCCCTTTTGGCCAGAACGACAACTGTTGCAGGTTGTACACAGCAAGAAACCTAAACCTAAAGGTTTATTCGCTGTAATTTCAATAATCTTTGATTTTATTGGTGAATTTTAAGTTAACAAGTTGAAAGAAATGCTTGTAAACTTGGTTTCTTATGGGATTTATTGTAGTTTGTAGGTGTTGTTAGAAAGTATAGAAATATGAGTTAACAAAAAATACAGTTTAAGGATAAATACTTTTATATTTTTAGGCTTTTCAAATACTTTTGTAAATAATAAACTCTTTTATAATTTCTCTGTGATATTTATTATTTCTCACTACAAAATAAATATATAAATTAAGTCAATCCATAGGCATATTGTGTTAATCGCTTAATTTGTTGCCATTTGTCCCACTTGCTGTGTGAGTCACGTCCCCAAACGATTTTCCTGCATTGTAATGGTTTATGGAGTCCCATAACAATTAATTTTAATTTTCCTGAATTTGCGTATGGCCAGTATGGCCTTAACAATGACGTTGGCCGTGCGATCCCATCAACGTTTGATCATCGGGCCCACTTACCAACTGGCCGCACGAGGGGTAATGAAAATTAATTGAAAAATTGATTGAAATTGTGCACTGAGCGGTTCAATCAGCGCGAGCCTTTTGTTATTGTTTAGACCTCTCCGTCTTTTCTTTATGTTTTTTTGTTATTCTTTTATTTTCTTGTGGGCAGAAAACCCGCGAACGGTGGAAAATTGCGATTCGAAAATAGCTCAAAATTTGCAATTAATTTTTGAAAAATGCTTAATACAATAAACACTGATGCCGCAGATGAGCCTGGGTCGATGATGTTGAATCCACATCCGACTGGCTGTTATGTAATGATGCTGTTGAAATGGCTGGACAGCAAATTAATTTCGGGTCCCGGTCGATTAGGAAATATCAATCAATCGGCAAGAGCCACAAATGATGCGTGGTTGATGGCAAATAGAGGAATTCTGTCCAGTAAGTGAGTTGTGTTCTGATGTTATTGGCGGAAATTGTTTACATGGGCTTCTGCATCGCATAAATCATGGCCAAATGGTTTTTCAGTTGGTCATAATCAAAGAAATTCCCTATGGTTAACAACAACATAAAATCATAGACCCAAAAAAACACTAATAATATGAATAGAAATTATTATGGCCAAGTGCTAAACCTCAAATGGGAATTTTAATGGCTTAATAAATAAATTGAACTAATTGATAATTTTATGGTGTTCAAGGAATGTTAATGTTTTATTTTAGATGGGCAGAAGCTATTTATAGCTGGAAAATAATTTTAAAATAAATATATAAACACATATATCACCCCTCTAATGAGTTTTTAATTGTTTCTCCCATTTACTTGTTAAATTCTATTGGCATTCATTGCAGCTATTTCACAGTGACCCATAATGGTTTCTCAGACTGCGAATGAATAATATTTGAATAGCATTTAAGAAGCACTCCCAGTCATTGCAGTTGCAAAATTTGCAACTTTCCTTATCTACGAACTACTTATATCTAAGCAAAAGAGATATAGCGTACTTCCTGAATTACTTGCTGCAGCTACCATGCCCTCGTATATTATCTCTGGCAATATTTACTCATTAGCCGCTGCATTATGCCTCACGTGGACATAAACAAAACAGCAAAAATATAATATCTATACATCTAAATGCATTTTCCAGACTATTCCCGGGCATCATCCTGGCTAAGAGATAGCGCTGGGCCAGAATTTATTGTTTAAAGTAAAAGCGTAAAAGCAAATTCATTGCCGCGCCAGCAAAACCCACGCTGATTACACTAGGTTACAAGAATATTCTTTTAAAATGTTGTTTTTCTAAAATATTTTTATAAAGATTTCATAAGAAATTATTGTTTTAGTTTTTGAAAATAATTTGGGCCACCAAAACCTATTCTAAAATAGAATAGATACTTATTTTCAAATATTTTCCTATTTAAAGATACAATATCTTAAACTCAGAGAAGAGATATGACTGCTTTTAGATACAAGATCAAACTTTGTAGTATCTTTTCCCTGTAACTCAGTGTTATATCGGGCATGGTCTGGCATATATAGTACCTATGTATCTTTGCCTAGTATCTATGACACCCACGACATCCAGTGCAAGCGCCACGTAAGCGACTAATGGCAAATAGCTGAAAGCCAAACAGCTAACAGCAAATAGCGAATATATAGCCGGTGGCAAATTGTTTGCTTTTGGCCGCCAGGCTCAACTTGTTACAGTGACAAATGGCAGCAGATACATCATGATCATCGGGGGCATACAATGATAGTGTCGCGTCGTGCTGTGAAATCATCATCGATTGCAGATTGCCGATTACCAAAAGCGATTGTGCGCTCAACAATTAAAGACCAAGACATTTTTCGGCCAGATCGAAAGATTTATGGCCTTAAAGCGTGCGTCAGCATTGAGCTGGAAATGAGAAAATCAGAAATCAAACGAACCCAGAGAAATGCTGCTGCCGTTGATTTATGCAGCTGCTGCTGGCCAGGATTCGGCAGCCAAACAAAGCCAATTCACACATACACTGAATAGATTGGCACTAACTAAATCCTTTGAGCGCATTTTCCCCCAATCAAGAATTTGCATAATGGCCGGGCATTGAGTGAATATCTTAAAGAATTCTTTCATTCAGGTCCTCAAGACCTGGCGCACACGAAAAGTCAGGCCAGCAAGTTCCGGTTTACACTTTCACACGATTTCGATTTGTTATTTTTAGGTTTTTCTATTTTCGCAGAATCTTTATACCTTGTAGATGGCTTGTACATAGTGGATACTAATGTTTACAGAACACTGCAAGATGTTGTAAATTTAGTTTAGTTTGTAATAAATTATTGGGAGTAAACACTTGTCAGGTAAGGTAAGGTAATAAAGGTGGAGGTAAGCCCAAAATTATATCTAGAGATGTAAGCATAAGGTTATTTAATACTATTTAAATGAATTTATTCTTCAAAAAGATCAGTTACGCAAATATAAAGACTTTTTTTAAGGAATCTCTACAAATTCTCCTAAAAATATTACCGTTAAAATAAAAATGAAAATAATTAATAAAAACTTGTTAAGTTCTTTTAGTTACCTTAAAAATCTGTAATCTTTTGGTTGTAAACTTAGTTTTTTTGTAAATTAAAGAGGTCTAATTTACTTTAAAATTAAGTTAATAAAAATCTGAAATTTAGCGAAATTAAAAACCAGAACGTTTGTCATAATTTCCGGTTCCCAGCAGCAGCAGCGTCGGCCCATGTGTGTGAGTTAGTTATGAAATATTTCTGGGGCCATTGTGCCATCGTTGGCTTACCGTGAAGTAGGAGGCTCGCACAAGGAATTCCTCCTAGGCAGCCGGCCGCATATCCTGCGGCGTTGCAGTGCTCGGCACCCGGCTCGAAGCCGCACTTCCCGCACACAGGTCCTCTGGCAGGGCTTTTCCCGCTGCAGCCGCTCGTTGACGTTGTCGGCAGTTAATTGAATTAGTTGTTAATTTATGTCTATGTTTTCACTGGGAATTTCGTGAATGTGCCCGGGGTGCCCTGGCCCGGTATGTAAGGAAGCTAGGAGTAGCTTTTCGCCCTTCCTCGACTCTTTTGTGACACCGACGGCTTCGAAGATGGAGATGGTGGCTGGCTTCGGCGACTGGGACTTGACTTGATTAAACGCCTGCCACTTAGATGGGCATTTAAGCAACTCTGGCACTCTCTGTGCCAAGAGCTCCAGTTCCGATGACAATGGCAGCGGGAATATAATAAACACACGCGCACACACACTCACTTTTCAATGGCCGGGTCTGAAAAACTTTTTATTGTGCACCCATTCGGGGTTTAATGAGCGGTTCCCGCACTCGCTCTAGCACTCAAAATCGCACTAGCACTATGTTCAGATCGCTGTTGTATTTTCCAGCTACGACTTTTCCGTTTTTCCGCGGCACAACCGCCTTCGTTGAGTGAAATTCTAGTTTGAATTTTGCGCGCGCGTTTCCATTCGGACTGAATCCCATCCGCGTGCCACAAAAACTGGCAGCCAGCCGGCCTTCGTCGTTGCCGGCAACAAAGTTGCCCCCGGCGGCATGGCATGTTGCCAGCTTGTGCATCAGCAACATCGTTATCAACGCTCCAGTAACGACAGAGACCAGAGCTTTCTTTAAGCTTTATGCTGCAGATTCGCCACGGGGCAGTATTTGTTGCTCGCAACTTGTTGCGCCGGCTTTTTCTTATCAGAGATCCCCAATAAGACGCTGCGAGACGAAATGCTGCCAATTGGACTGTGCTTAGCGCCAACCATTAATAACTCGAGTTTAATTGCGGTCTTTAATCTGTTGAATTCTAATTTAAGATCCGTCTATCAGCAGTAAAAATATTTTCGAAAAGGGGAGACTTAATTTTGCACACTTGTTGATATTTTCAAGATTTTGAGAGCTTTAGATTAGCTTTTAAAAGGAATTAAGTTAGGGTTTGGTCCTTGCTTTATGTCCTTTTTAAATCTGAAGCTAACAAAAGCTTTTTAGATCCTGAAAATCAACTTTTAGGTCTTAAAATGAAAGAAAACTTAATGCCTGTTTTTAATATAAACAAGAAAACAAGAACAAATTTAATTTGTAAACATAAAGACCCCGAGAATAGATTTTTTTAATATTCAAGTAAAACCTATATTCATTTTCTGACTCATTAAACTCACTAAAACCCCAACCCATTTTTCAACCGTTTACCAACTTGATGGATGACTTTTTCAGTTAGTTAACTTTTCAGTTCGAAGCCCAACCTTCCGGCGTTTAGATAAAGTTTAGCCAAGATTGGAATCTGTTAGATATGCGACCCACTTGATAGATTGTCTCGCATACGAAGTTTGAACAGCTCCAGATAGCCGGGACTTCTTGAGATAATATATCGCTTGTCTGGTAATTGTCACTGACAAATGTTGACACCCTACCACAACCCCTTCCCTCCGCCTAATGCCCAGCAATTATCTGTAATTGATAGAGCAAACCGATAGGAAAAGAAACCGAAAGGGCGTAGAAAATAAAGCCTTCAAAAGCCGACTTTAATTTTATTTGCCAAATTCAGTTCCCAAGGCGTATCGCTTTGATAGCTCGCCGCTAATGCCAGAACAAACACTTGGCAAGTCTTTCTTTTAAAGCTCTCTATGATTTTATTGGCAAATTCCTTCTTTAGCTTGAGTAAATATGTTATCAAAGAAATTTTTGCCGCTTAGGACACGGTGTAGGTGAAAGCAAAGCCAGCCTCATTCTGCCTGTAGATGTCATCGCTGTTAAAGAGAACCATCAGGGGACCGGGACTGTTGCCTGAAAAATATTAAAAAAAAAATTAAAGAGAATTTATGTAGGTCATTGTGAATATTTTTAGGAATATATATAAGGTGAAATGTTTGAATTTAGTGAAGAAATTAAGAACTATTTGCCTAACTATTCTGTTTAAATATAGAAATAAACTCAATTATTTTCATATAAAATTTCCCCCTCTTCCAAAATGCTGTGTTTACTAGTGTTTCTTCAAGCTTTTCCGGTAGAAAAGCTCACGTAAACTTACTCGTTATGACCACATCCTTCTTGATGGAGCCACAGAAATAGGTGGCGTGCGTGTGACTGTCCTCCATGGTGGCCTGGGGCACCATGAGGAAATCGGCATCCAAATCGCCGGTACTGGCGCTATCATAGCAGCTATTATCGGTCATCAGGGTGCTGGCCTGTTCCTGGGCACCGACATTGAAGTAATACGCGCGCATGCTTCATATAAATAATAATTAATTGATTTAAATGTTATTCTACAAAATAAATAAAAAACTCACGTAAGGCTCGAAGTATCAACATTACGACGGAAGCAGATGGCATAGTTCAACTTGGAAGGATAGATGCCATCGCCATCGTTGTAGTTAAAGGACTTGACGACGCCCTTGGTCTCGGGGAAGTACTGCAGGCAACCCGGAGGAGCCACCCAGAATCCATCCTTGATAGAGCTGGCACGACCCTCAATGGTCAATGGCTCATCATCCACGTCCAGGGAACGAACAGAGGCTCCAGCCGGGCACTCCAATTGGGTCACAGTCATATCCCAGCTGGGCGTGACTTCTCCATAGGTTCCAGCACGATCGGCCAGTCCAATTTCGAGATCCACCACAGTCTCGCCATCGGTGGCATTGAAGGGCACGTAGATGTGCTGCCACACCTCGGTGCCGCACAGTCGCAGGCCATTGACCTCAAAGTAGTCCTTGGTGCACTCGGCGTAGGTCAGACCCGAGCCTTGGGTTTCCAACGTGGGCTGGGCCAAGGTCATGGCGAAGTCAATGCGCAGCTGGCACACATACTTGCTGTAGGCCTTCACGTGGTACTCGCAAACCCTTGGGGGATTCGTCGGGTTGATCAGGTTGATGTTCTTCGAGGAGGAAGTTGCACCGCATGCGGGCTTGGCCACCGAAGCGGCCTCGATGGCTGACAGTGCCACCACCAGGAGGAGCAGGCTGCCTGTTGCAGTAAACGTCTTCATCTTCGTTCTGACAATGAGTCTTCGAAGCGGTCAGTCGCTGGCTTTTTATTGCCCGGCCGCAATCTCACCTGTCAGATACTACCTATCGCAGCCAATTGTCCACGTTCTCAGTGTCAGCAAACATGATCGATCGATGGCTTTATCGGCTTTCCAAGGGGGCACTTGCAAAGTGCTTGGGGTATCCCTATAAATAGTTGCCCAAGTGGTGGGCAAGGGGAGTTTTTATGGTTAAGAAGTCAAATGCTTTATCTTAAAAGAATTTAAATACTATAATGAACACAATGTGGTTAAATTAAAACAAAATACGCTTTATCTAAAGCGTTTCTATAAACAATAAAATATAATAGTTAATATTCTATTTTCGGTTTGTTTGTTATTTTTCTTTCGTGCAATATTTAAGATACTTTCTTATCGTATAAATTTAATTAAAAGAGCTTCATTTCTTATTACCAATAACCTCTCAGTAAATATCGCTAAAGAAACAATAAGAAATTCTAATTAAATCCCACTGAATCCCTGTGATTAGCGATAAAGTTTGACGTACCAACAATTGACAGGGTCTTATCGTGCTTAAATATTTAGGTTTCTTTTCGACATCAATCAATTGATTGGCATTCCGCTCTCTTAGACAATTTCCCACCCGCCGAGAATAGAACGAACCTCTTGACTCTTTTCCTGCATTTATCGCCGTGTTTGTTGCCCAATTTAACTTTGTTGTTGTGCAATTCGGTAATTGGGGTCTTGTCATTTTCACACCCTCTTTTCACTTTTTGACATCATCATCAGCATCACCATCATCATCTTCATCATCGATGAGTAGATCGTCATCTTCGTTTATGGCGATGATAATGAGGTGGCGGCGGGCACTGATCGATCTCCTCCCAAAAAAATGTGAGCAAACATAACCCAGTTTGGACGGATCTAAGATCAGGGTAATGGTCACTATGTCGAGGTTCAATGACTCGATCACAAATACGTTTATAGGCGCAACTAGCCCGGCTTTGAATATTCATGCCGGCGCAAGTGACAAACCGAGCTTCTTTGCCGCCCAAATATTGACATGCCGTTGCCTCCAACACGAAAATCTCATCAGCACAACGCAACGTATCTCTCGGATTCTTCCGAATTCTTCGTTCTTCTTCGCTCCCGAAGAAGGGCTATAAAAGCGCGGCGACCTCCGAAAAACGCAGACAGTCGATGTGAAAGTGAGCGTGGGTGCGAAGAGTAAAGAGTCGGAGTGAAACACCATGAGGATTACCATGATTGGATATATAAATTGTACATTGCTCCTGCTGTTCCTGGGATTCCTGGACTTTGCTCAGGCTCAAACGCAGCCTTTGAATGATTCGAACATCTTAGGCGGTGGATTAGTGGCCCAAGAACCTGGCATGTGGCGTCAGGGCAGGCGGAGAAGCGTCCTGGCAGATAGCTGTGTCACCAACAGCGGCACCACTGGCACCTGCCTCACGCGGTTCAAGTGTATGCGTCAGTCGGGCACCGTCAATGGATATTGCGGCACTTATGGCGTTTGCTGTGAAAGTGAGTTGAGAAACAAAAAAAAATAAAGAAAGGATATTTGATTATAAAAGAAAAAGGCTTTTTTAAGGCTTTCTTAATAAAACTTTACCAATCTTCCCCTTACAGCCAACCTCCAGGTCGGAGCTTCCACCCGCCAAAAGCGAGTGATTATCAAGAATCCTGGTGCCTTGACCAATGATCTTAACACCTACACAATCGAGGCCTTCAGCAGCAATGTCCAGCAGCTGCGCATCGACTTTGAGCAGTTCGAGCTGGCGCAGCCCACGGAAACGGATGGAGTCCTAGAGTGCATGGACTACTTCGAGGCGGACGACTTTAAGCTGTGCGGCGTGAACAGTGGCCAGCATCTGTACCTGCCCTTCAATGCGGCCGCGGGAGTAGAGCAGGTGACCCTTTCCTTTTCGGTGCCCTCGAGGTGGTCGGGAACCATGTGGCGACTGATAGTGACCCAACTGGAGGGTCCACCGCCGGGTAGTAAGCGTCGTTCCAGCACAACTTCGGGAGCCTTTGGGGTCAGCACAAATTCTCTGCAGGATCTGCGCGACATCTTTGCCTCCCATCATGCTGACTACGAGCTACTGGCTCCGGCGGGCTGCCAGCAATACTACACGGAGCTGTCGAACACCATTCGCAGCTTCAACTTCCAGACCTCGGTGACCAGCAACTATATGCCGGGATTGAGCTACAACATCTGCATCAAGTCGGCGGCCAGTGCCAGTATGATTGAGTGAGCATATCCGAGATCTAATTATAAATAAGGTCCATGGCCTTAACCGCAGATTCCTCCCCACAGATACTCCTTCAGCAAGTTTTCAATGTCCGTGCAGGACGGGGCCGCCGAGGGCTACGACGAGTTCTGCCATGCCACTGTACATACGGCTGGCCGGCAAGAGGACTACCTGATGATACCACAGGGCATTCTGGCCAAGAACATGGCCTACCAGCCCACCTACTACTGTGGCAGCAATGACAACCTGCTGGTGTATGGTGAGTAGAGAGTGGCTATGGCCTGGCTGCATCCTGCAGGACACTAATATCGTTTGGATGTTCCCTTTCCGCTTGCAGCCTCGCCGCCGTATTTGCTGCACTTCTCCAGCGACGACCTCACCCTGGACAGAAGCATAGAGACAGGCTTCAGCCTGACTTACCGCCTCCGGAACTCGATGCTGTAGGTGCTGAACAGCTGGCGCTTAATAGGTTTTCGATAGCAGGTTACTCTAGGATTTAATAAACTCGAATGTCTTTAAGAACTGTGTCTGCTTTAAGCTGATGTTTTACTCGGTTAATGAGCTTGTCATGCCTCAAATCGTGGGGGATTATGACAATTGTGGGGTTGGGGGCATCACACCCACACACATAAATACATGCTATATAAAATCAAACGCACACTGGCACAAAAGTTGGAGAAACGCATTAAGGCTCTTGCGCGGTCAGCGACACGATTATCCTTTTAGTAGCGTAATTAGTGTGATTAAAGTCAAAAGCTTCCAGGCGCTATGGGGTGTCAATACCAGATACCCCCCTTGGCAGCTTTAAGTAGCTAAAATCAGTGCTGCCAATACAAACATTTATACCGGAAGAGTTTGAACATAAAAATGGGAGATATTAAGCTCAAGAAAATAATATACAACACAGGCTTTTAAAGTATTTCATGGTGGGATATGCGAAATAAACCCTTTTAAAGGACACCGGCCCCTCCAGGATTGTCAGCACTGTTTGCCAGGCTACTTTCCAGTTTCCCACTCCACCGTTATACCCCGCCTATAATGCCACAATGAAGAGAGAACAACGCGGGGCCATTGGCAGCTTTGAGAGCTGGCAATCGAACCGAGGCGGAAACCCACTTCCACCAGCAACTACTCTATATGCCCCCCGCCTCCAGCCCGGAGGGGCCTTTCACTTTGACAAGGTGCTAGATTTGGGAGCCCGCTAATTGACGGCCGTCACATTCTTCCACCGATCATGGCTCATTTAGCAGCACCGGCAGCCAGAGAGACTCTCTTGACCACTCACTCAACCTCCAACTCCACTCAACTAGACTCTACTCAGCGGCCTGGTGTAAATTGTAAAATAAGCCAATCAGGCACAGGCCCAATCCCAATGGTCAATATTGGTCATTGGTACTGGGGGGAGGGGGAGTCTCTTTATGGCTGGATTAGTGTGTTCGCACCTGCCAGGTAAGCGGTTCCAGAAGCTACTTGCCCTATCTTCAATGGTTGCCAAAATAGGGTAAAAAAAAGGGGGAGTAATAAATAAATAAATACCCAAAACAACAACAAATCGAACGATATGTGTATTTATGAGCAGGGCATTCGTGAAAAGATTGCAAAAAGCTTAAGCTTTAATTTTAAACTTTTGTATAGGAATAGTGGGTACCCTTTGGGGTTTTTTTTTCATAATATTTTAAAGATCTAGTTATTTTTTACATTCTGTTGATATTTATATTTTATGAAATTTTATTAATTTATAAAACTATTTGTTAAAAAATTGTTACTTTTCTTATGCAATTTTAATTATAAATTACTCATAATTATTAAAATAAATAGTTAAGGAAGTTTATGTTATATTTCTAAAAACTTGAAAGATAACATCACACTGTTCTTTACAATCATTAATTTCCAGGGTATCTAAGATTCGTTTCCTTTGAAACCCAATTCTTTTGCTATATTTTTCAGGTGGCAAACAACAAGCCATAAAGCAAAGTTCCCTTGGAACGGCTTGTGCAGCGGCTTTCCCAGGTACAAAACTGCTAAATGTTGCTCATAAATTAACGCCAAACTAAACTGTTGGTGGGCAAGAAGGCGTGGAAGGATGGCATGGTGGCCAAGCTGAGAGGGGAGCCGCTCCTCCTCTCCCGGGGGCAACTGAGGCTAAATGCTGTGAGTGGCAAAAGATCGACGACAGCCGCCAGCTAGCAGCAACCGGCAGCGCGTCGCAGCTGCAGTGAAAATAACGAAAATGCATTTTAAAAACCGCCCCTTCCTCCCACCACAAAAGCAAACGAGGCGAGCTAAGGACAGAGCGTGGAAAAACAAGGAGAAGCATGGAGGAAAGGACCTAGGGCAAGGGCAGCGTTCCACTGGACTGGCCAGTACCCTTTCGTCGTGTCTGTGTTTGTGTGTGTGTGTTTAAGTAATGATTTTGCAAAATATGCGCAAAAGTGCCAACACCAACACCCGGCAATATGGTGCCCTAAATGGACTGTAACCGGAAGTGCGAATAGCGTGCAGCTGCGTCCTCGACCAGTTGACCAAGATAAGAAGCTCGGAATCGGGCTTAAAGTGATACTGATGAAGCCCTTTAATCCGCCACGGCATCTCGCCTCGATTGGTAATAAGCAAAAGGGGGAAAATAAACAAAAAGGTTACTCGTACATGCGAATGCAAGCCAATTTGTCACGGTCAGCAAGGGTGTGAAAATGCATGCCAAAGTGCCTTACACAGACGACAGAGAGACCCAATTTTTGGTTCGCGGAAGTGGAAATGGAAAATGTAACGGATGCACAGGGAGAAATATATATCGAGAAGAGTGTATAATGCTTAAACTTCCAGAAATATTAGCTTTACCCGGTGGATATTTTTCTATTTCTGAAATAATAATACTTTAATACTCATTCCAGGACCTCAAATCCCACTTCTTTATAGTTTAAGGAGAATCTAAAATAATTTATTATCCCAAGAGTCCTTATTTTCCCCTCTGCACAACTATCCTTACCCCGTTTTTTCTCCTTATTGATGTTGTTGCCTTATCAACTCATTGTCGCCAACATGCAGGCTCATGAAATGAAAGGAAAATATTGAAGCTGTCCTTTGTGGCGGGCGGAATGTCCCTTTTATCGAGCCACCACCCACTGCCCACTGCGAAACGGTCTGCTCTCATAACATTTCTAAAGACAAAAACTGTAAAATCGAAATACAATTACGATGCGCCGAAAGACAGACGGAGATGTAGTGAAAGAGACAATCCACTCACGTGTGTTCGGTGTGCGAATTCTTGTTGATTTTCATGGCATATTTTACACTGATTGTAAATACACACACTTGCGTGTGTGTGTGTGTATGTGTGTGTATGTCTGGGTGGGTGCAGCAAGAAATAAAATTGAAATGAAATATGCAAACATGAAAAATATGCGCCAGCCTGAAAATATGCTACGAAAAAATTGGCAGTTCACAGAGAGCGGCCGAAGTACACACACATGCAGAGGCACACATACAAATGCACACAGCTTCCCCAGACGAACTCGCACACACACAATCGCAGGACACCCACACACACACTCCTGCACATTGGCCACTCGGCTGCGATTTATTGCATTATCAATAAAGTGAATAAATTTTGAGGTTATTGTGGCGTGATAACGGCAATTTTTGTACTTGTTCTTGTTTCCCTTGCATACCAATGCCCCTCCTTGTTTGTGTGGGGGTGTGTGGGGGTGCGTGGGCAGGTGGGGGGGCGTGGCTGCTGTGGAGGACGGTAATACTGTGTAAATGGCGCTGTTAATTAAAGAATCACACCCATGCGTATCGCCCGTTGCCAACAATTAACTGATTAAATGCTTAAGCCGGCTTGGCTTAAAGACTTTCCATTCAAACTGAACGGCCTCCGCGTAAAGGGAGATATTGTTCCAACCGACAGGGTCTCGAATGCAAAACAGTTTACTTGAGTGGACAATCGAATAATAGGGAGATTGTGTTGCTTATTGGGTTATATATAGGGATTATGGGGAATTTTTGAGGGATTTAGGAAAGCATTCAAGTTAGTTGTTATATTTTGAAAAGATTTTCGGAGGGGTCTTAAGATAGCCTGAGAGCTAGCTGTAAATATTTTTAATAAAGCTGCAAACTATTAATTTATATACGAAACTATTTTATAATATTATTTATATCCATTATCAATGTTGATTGCTTACAGCTTTCACAGAATTTCCTTCTACTTTTATTATTAAATAATGTATCTTACCTTAAACATGCAAATTTAATTCCTCAATCCCATGATCAACTACATTATAGGCCCAAATATTTCTTCCAACTATAATTAGACCCTCCAGTGAGTTCTTCCTTGTTGACTTTCTCACACAACTCTTTGGTGAATGAGTCATGCAGACTTCACACTTCTTATTGGCCAGCTAATTCATGCGAGAATGCAAATCCAAATCCAAGAGCGAAACCAAAACCAAAAACCGAAACCGAGACCAAATCCTAAACCGAAATCCCAGACAGAGTCTGGAGTCCGAGTCCGAGTCTGAATCCAAATCCGAATCCGAGTGGGGAGTCCGAGCTTGGGCTTTGGTATTGGTGGGATTGAGTCCGTGCGTATGCAAATCGAGTCGGCGACACGGTAACTATGTTTGAACTATGAATTTCTCGCTGTTTGTGTTTATGGAAATTTCGGGAATTATGCAAAACGCACACCCACCGCTCGCCGTGTGTATTTGTATTCTAACACCTTTTGTGGGCAATTGTTTGTCCGAGCTGTATGAGTTATAATATGTTAATCGCTACCGTTTGCCTGTTTGCATATTGAATAATTGCCGTTACGTGCAGTCTTGGCCATTGTTGTTGGCCGAGTTGCTTTGTTTATTGTTTTGTTTGCTTGTGGCCTGCTGGTCAATAGGTTTCATTGTGGAAAAATTGGCGGACACATCAAACTGTCAGCAGATCAAACATTGCCCTGCGATGATCCCCCGCTCGGTGAAAGGGTTTTCGAGAGATGGCGATGATGCTGATGATGATGATGATGCTGATGACAATGACAACGCTGCTGGCAAAGGGTTGGGGTTGGGGTTGGGTTTTTTTGGGTGGGAGAATGAGCATTAAAATCCAACACCATCCCTTAGTGCCGCCTCGGGTGCCTGCATCGCATCTCGGCAAATGAGCGAAGCGAGGCAACGTTTTAATAAATTTGTAAACAGATTTGTTAATTTCAGCATAAAATTTTGATGAGAATTCAGCCATATTGTGCCGGTTGCTTCTCTCCAGGAGAAAGCTTCTATCTCTCTCTGCGGATGCCATAGTATGGGTCTCTGTGTGTGACAGTGTGCGTGCGATGGTGTTAAGTATGCGTGTTCAACACAAATAACGATAAAAACACAAAGTTAACTGCAGGCAGACAGTAACGGGGAAAGGCACTGGAAGAAAATATGGGTACAACATTTTAGATTAAAGTTATTAAATGCAATTTAATTAATTTAAGCAGCAGGGTTGCATAAATTTTTGTTTTAGAAAGAAATCACCTCTTACTTAATGCT